GGATCCCCCGAACGAGCCGAGACGAAGTAAAACATCCCGCGCCGCGAAACGGACTCCATCTCCGGCGGGTCGAGGTCGACGTACTCGAGGTCGTACTTGAGGTCCGGCGTGATGCGCACGACGACGGCCCTGCGGTCGCTCCAGGCGACGGGCTGGCCCTTGCGGCGCGGCGCGCGCGCGCGGACCGTCGAGCCCGCGGCGAGCCCGTAGAACTTGTGGACCGAGTAGAGGAAGAAGGGGATGTTCGAGATGACGGCGCCGTGGTTCTGCTGCGCGACGACGGCCTGGAGCCCCGGGCTCAGGCGGTCCAGGAGCGCCTGGTAGTAGTTGAAGCGGAACACGGGCTCGCTGAGCATGACGTACTCGCGGAGCCGCACGCGGAGCTCCTTCGGGTAGCGGAGCTTCGTCATGTAGTCGTTGATGGAGTCGAGGGTCTGCTTGAAGTCGTTGCTCACGGGGTCCAGGTTCGACGCGATGTTCGCGAGGTCGCCGAGGAGGAACGCGAGCAGGATGCAGCCCACGAGCATCATCGCGAAGCCCAGGACGCCCTCCGCGTGCGTGACGAAGGTCGCCTCGCCGTTCATCGCCGTGAAGGACCAGACGATGGCCGTCGTGTACTCGGCCCAGATGCCGTCGTGCCACGTGTTCGCCTTGGTGATCGTCGTGCCGGGGCACGCGGCCTCGCGCTCGCGCGAGCCCGTGTTGCAGTGCTGCAGCTGGATGTCCGTGATGAGCCGCAGGCAGCAGGCGCTGCCGTGGATGCTCATGAGCAGCAGGAACGAGTACATCATGATCGTCTGCGTCCGCGAGCTCACGTTGAGGTGCTTCGAGAGCCGGCTCACGATGCGCGGGCTCTGGAAGACGCGGAGCAGCTTGAAGAGCCGCGCGAGCCGCACGAGCCGGAGGAGCCCCGCGTCCTTGTTGATGGGCATGGCCCACCAGGGCGTGATGGACACGGCGTCGAGCACGGCCCACGTCCGCAGGTAGTGGAGCACGATGCGGCCCGGCTGCGTCACCCACCTGGCGGGAACAGGGTGGGAGGCTCGGTCACGTTCGGCCCATGCGTGGACGGGCGATGATCTCTCGCGTGGACCCGTTCTCCGGAACGATCGCGCGCGTCGACATCGCCCCGCGTCCCGCGCCGGTCGCGCGCCGCCCGTGGTCGACGTCGAAGTAGGACGTCACGAAGTTGAGCCCAAAGTCGACGACGAAGACCGTGTCGACGCAGCGGTTGATCACGAAGAGCCCCACGTTATCGTGAGTGAAGGGCCGGTCCCCGGAGACGAACGTGAGCTCGAACGGCGTCACGAGCATGACGAAGAGGATCATGAAGAGCATGCCGATGTCCCAGTTGATGCGCCAGGGCTCCATGGGGTTGAGCGCTTTCCAGAATCTGCCCATCTCCGGGAAGCCCTCGAGCTCCAGGGCGACTTCCTCCTCGAGGTCCACGGCCGGCGCCTCGTGGACCTCCTCCGCGTCCTCCTCGACCGTCTGCGACACGAGGCTCTCCAGGCTCCGCTGCCGCATGGGCATGCCCGGGCGACCGCCTCCCGCCTTGGGCGTCGGCGTCGACCCGAGCTCGACCTCGCTCGGCGACCCCTTGGGCGTCGCGCCCCCCTGGCCGTTCCAGAATGACAGGCGCCGGACGCCACCGCCGGCGCCGGGATCCTCGGCCGACGGCGCGCCGCCGTCGCTCGTCGGCGCCGCGCCGAAGGCGACGGAGAGCCTAGAGGAGAACGACGGGTGTCGGGGCGGCATCGTCCTCGCCGCCATGACGCGGAGGCTGCCGCGCGCGCACGAGCAACACGAGCAACAGCTTCGCTCTGGACTTCGCTGCTGGAAGCCTGACGTTGTTGATGTTCAAATATTGTTCAAGGAAAAAGGGATAGAAAAGAAAAACAGTACTATATTAGACAGATATTAGAAGGTCCACGCGCCGTCTTCCAGGCGCGCGTCGGGGCGGCTGTGCGTGCGGGTCGATCGAAAGCGCCCTCGCGGGCGCGTCGGTCGTCGAAGTCGCGGAAGTCGCGGAGAGTCGCGGCGGTCGGTCGATCGTGCGTCGTCGTCGAAGAAAGGAGGTCGTCGTCGATGTCGAAGGAGGTCGTCGTCGTCGTCGAAGAAGCTCGCTCCACAAAAACTAGGGCAACTTCGAGATGAGCTCCGGGATGGACACGAGCTGCGTGCCGAAGTCGTTGACGTTGTGGTCGCCCGCGGCGCGCGGCAGCGTGTCGCCGTCGAAGTCGGCGTCGAGCGCCGCCGTGGACCGCGCGAAGAGGAGCCGCGCGAAGGCGATCCACGACTCGTAGGTGAGCCGCTTGTCCCACGTGCCGCCGAAGGCGTACATGCGGTCGAGCGCGACGGCCGCGTGGTCCCGCGCCTCGCCGTGGCGCCCCGCGCGGAAGTGGAGCTGCGCGAGGAGGACGTGCATCTCGCCCACGTAGGGCAGCAGCTCGATGGCCGCGGCGATCATCGTGATCGCCGCGTCGCCGGAGATGCGGTTCGAGTCCTGGACGACGCGCCAGTACATGTCGCGCGCCGCGGCCTCGTCCTCGTAGGCGATGTCCGCCGTGCAGCGGTCGAAGATGGGCGGGATCACCGCGAGGTGGCCGCGCACGGCCTTGCACGCGGCGGCCGCCCAGTAGAGCGACACGTCCGGTTCCACCGTCCCGGGGAAGATGCGCGTGTCCAGCGGGTCGATCTGGTGGTGGTCCCGCCAGCCGTTCGTCGTCACGCCCTGGTCCAGGTAGTCGGCGATGGACACGACGATGAGCTCCGCGACCTCGCGGTTGCTGAGCGTCTTCGCGCCCTCGACGCGCGACCGCGTCGCGACGCGGTCGTCGAGCCCGCCGACGAGCGGCCGCGCGAGCCGGTGGCTGCGGTTGTTCATCATGTGGCCCAGACCGACGAACTCGTGGCGCGCGACCGTGCCGAACTCGTAGATGAGCGCCTCCGCGGGTCCGCCGACGAGGGCGCGCATCTCCGCGCGGTCGACCGTCGGGTCGAAGATGAAGAACTCGAAGAGGTCGCCCGAGTAGGCCGTGTGCGCCAGGCCCGCGCGCGCCACGGCCACGGGCTGGTTCCAGGCCATGAGCATGCCGTAGGTGCCCTTGAGATGGTTGAAAAACGTGTTCCGCGCGTGCGGGAACTCGACGAACGCGGACATGGCGCCCATGCGCCGCAGCACGTCGTCGATGCCCTCGTCGAGCGCGCTCCATTCCCGGTAGACGAAGGCCCGGACGCTCTCCGGCATGGCCGGCGGCACGACGGGCAGCGCTGTCGCCGTCGCGTTGCTCGTTTTGGGGGTCGGCGTGCTGCCGCCGTCGAGCCGGACCTCGTGGCCCACGATGGGATTGACGAGGACGTCGCCGGCGCGCGCGTGCAGCGCGAGCAACAGCGCGACGGCTGCGAGCCGCGCCATCGCGTTGCAGCTGCCGCGGGTTTCTCCAACCTTGATGACATAGTCGATTGAGTCGTACTAGTAGTTTCCCCACCAACAACACGAGTTACAGCTCGACGTACTCAGGCTCCTCGTCCGGGTCCGGTCGCGGACTCGGGAGCCTCGGCGGCTCCGGCAGCGCGAACGGGTCCTCGTCGTCGTCGTCGAGCACGAGCTCCTCGCGGAAGGACTTCGACAGGTCCGTCGACGGGCGGTCCCGCGGCCTCAACAGCGAGTCGCCGACGGCGCCGGCGCCGAGGCGCGCGACGCCCGAGCTCGCTTCGCGGCTCGCGCGCGGGTCGAAGGTCGCGCCGTTGTCGCTCGTCGCGCGCGGGTTGAAGGTCATGCTGTGCGCGTCGCGCGACGAGCTCCGCGTCGTCCGCCGCTCGAAGACGTCGTCGAGGTAGCGGTCGACGCGCTCCGCGTAGTAGCGGTCGAGCGCGTCGTAGAGCGGCCGCGCGGCGCGCGGCCGCGGCGCGGTCCCGCAGAGGATCTCCGCGGGCGTCCGGGGCACGCCGTAGAAGCGCGTGTTCACGCGGTCGCGCACGTAGACGTGCGCGCCCTCGACCGTGAAGCCGCCGTAGAAGCCGCGCGCCTGCGAGTACGACGTCGTCGAGGAGGCGGCGCCCGCCGACGACACGAGCGCCTCGCCGTCGGCCGCCCGGCCCAGGGGCCCGAAGGCGAAGCTCACGGACGCCCCGAGGCTCAGCTTCGACGCGCTCGGGTCCATGAACTGGCCCAGCGCGTCGCGGTCCAGCGGCGTGACGACGTCCGTGATCTCCGCGCCGACGACGGCCCCGAACGCGAAGCCGTAGGAGCTCACGGCGCAGGGCGCGGACCAGGAGCCGTCGTGCAGCCGCGCGACCAGCAGGCCCGTGCCGCCCGTGACGCCGCCGATGAACGCGACCTTGGCCAGCGTCACGAAGAGGAGCGCGTCCGCGTGCGCGACGTTCTGGTCGAAGTACTCGGCGTCGCGCTCCCAGAAGTTGACGCCGTCGAAGAGGTTCTGGAGCGTGTAGGCCGCCTTCCGGACCTCGCCGCCGAGCGTGAACCGCAGCGGGCTGTTGCAGTAGCGCGTGAACGAGTCGCTCGCGTCCGCGACGGCGTTGCTCCGCGTCGCGTTGCTCCGGGACTCGGCCCACGCGTGCTGGTACGGCGCGAGGCGCACCTGGCACGCGTCGCAGACGCGCTGCGGGTCCCGCTCGCGCCACGCCGGCGGCATGAGCGCGACGCCCTCGGTGCACCCGCCGCAGAACACGAGGCCGCAGCCGCGGCAGTGGTGCCGCCGCTCCATCGTGTCGAACGCGACGCCGCAGGCCGGCCCGCGGCAGCACGCCGCCGCGGCGTCGGGCTCCCAGGCCGGCGCGCGGTCGCCGACGCCGCCGGGCGCCGGCGACGCGAAGGGGTCGTCGTCGTCGGGCGCCCACGACGACGCGAAGGCGCTGAACATGCTGCGTGTGGCGCGCGTTGCGGTGCGTCTCGCGGTGTGCTTGCCGTGTCGTGCCCGCCGAGTCGTGACGACGCGGCTTCGGAGAGCCTGCCTGTCGAAAACGTTGTGACGCGACGAGCTCGTTGACTTGCTCGTTGCCGTCGAGTTGCACCGACCGAGCAAGTCCACGCACACTACCTAGAAGCTTAGCCACACACCCGCGTCGCTCGACTAGAACCCGAGCCCGAAGGGGTCGTCCTCCTCCTTGCCCTCGTCGTCCTTCTTCTCCGCGACGGCCTCGAGCACGCGGCCGCGGACCATGTTCGCGAACTGGAGGCAGTGGCCCACGAAGACCGCGAACGTCTCCGGGCTGAGGAAGGGGAGCGTCGTCATGACCTGGGCAGCAAAAGAGTGATTCAACGTCGCTTCAACGTGAGTGTTCCGCGCGCGCGCGTTCCGGAAACAGCATCCACGCTTCGAGACCGTTCCGAGAGATGATCGCTCGTCCAAGAATTAGCCGAAACGAGTGAAAAACGGCCGAGAGAGGAGCCTTTGAAGTTGGGAGTTTCGCTCTCTTTTGCTGCCCTGGTCATGACCGTCGAGTCCGACAGGCCCTCGGAGTTCCAGCGGTGGCCGACGACCTCGATGAGGAGCGTCGAGGGCAGCGGCGCGAGGTCGCGGATCTGCGACGGCGCGTGCTCGCGGTAGTAGAGCGACAGCACGGGGTAGAGCGCGGCCGCGTAGGCGCCCGCGGCCTCGCGCTCGCCGTGGCCCGGCCCGACCATGTCGAACATGTGCATGAGGTCGCGCTTCACGAGCTCCGTGTCCAGGTACTGCTGGAGCACGGCGTCCTTCTCGCCGTCGAAGAGCGCCTCGTCGGGGAACACGAGCAGCTGCTTGAGCCACTCGGGCCGCCGCGGTTTCGGCAGGACGCCCCGCCCGGGCCTGCCCGGCTCGACGCCCGGCGTGATGACGTGCGTCGTGAACATGGTCTCGAACTCGGACCAGGCCGCGGTGCACGTCGCGACGCACTGCTCCCTCGTCGCCGCGTGCGCGTACGCGTAGTCCCGCCCCAGGCCGCCCTGGAGCTCGAAGGTCGGCGGCGACGCCTCGGCCGTGATGGGGCCGCTCTGCCAGAGCTTGAGCTTCCGCGGGCCCACGGCGCCGCCCGCGTCCTGCTTCATCGCCTTGGCCGCGTTGCTCACCTGCGCGCGAATCGACCGGTGAGCCGATGCCACACTTCGACATACACGCCGATTTGGCCGATCTTTGGACGGATCGATGGCTCTCGTCGAGGTCTCGTTGAAGTCGGTGTGAAGATGTGACGCGCGCGCCGTCGCTCGCGGTCGCTTTCACGCCCTTGTACGCGCCTGTGTGGAAACCAAATCTTCAACCCGACTTCAATGTGAGCGTATGCGACAGTTTCGACGCTAGACTTTCTCCTGTGCTTCGAGAACTCGACGAGAGCGATCGATTCGTCCAAAGATCGGCCGAATCGACTTCGATTTGACCGAGCTAGAGAATTCTCAAGTTTGGTCAGGACGTCCCAGCTCACTGGTTGATTTGCACACAGGTACGCGCCCGCGGCCTTGGCGCGCATCTTCGCGAAGGCGCCGCCCCGCTCGGCCTTCTTCTTCTCGCGCTCCTTGCGCTTCTTCTCCTCCTCGGTCTCGACCTTGGCGGCCTCCTCCTTCTCCTTCGCCTCCGCGTCCTCCCTCTCCTTGGCCTCGCGCAGCGCCGCAGCCGTCGCGTCGTCCGCGGCGTTCGACAGGCGCTTCGAGATGAGCTCCGTGTCCAGGCCGCAGGTCGCGCCGCCCGCCAGGAAGAAGACGCGCCGCTCGTAGGCCTCGGCCTCCCAGTCCTCGAGCAGGCCCAGCAGCCTGAGCAGGTCGCCGCCGTGCGCGGGCCACGTGTGGCAGACGTCGCGCTGCTCCGGCTGCGTCATCTTGTACTTGGCGTCGTTGATGCTGTTGTCCAAGAAGGGGCAGTCCGACGCCACGTAGAGCGCCCGCAGGCCCTCCGTGTTCAGAGCTTCCTCGAGCGCGTCCCACTGGTCGTCGCCGACGAGCGGCACCTCCATGGGCGGCCAGGACGTGCCGCCCTTGCCCAGGGCCCGGTTCCCGCCCCAGAGCCGCTGGTGCCTACGTCGGTGACGATGGTTCGTCGTTTCAAAAGCTCGCGAAACTCAGGGACGCCGGCTCGCGCTTCGTGTCGAGCGCGAAGAGGCCGACGACGCCGCCGCAGAACGTCTCGAAGAACCACTCGCCGTGGCTGCTCACGGACGAGCAGCCCGTCGCGTGGCCCTCGGGCACGCCCGGCGTCGACCCCCAGGGGTGGTCGAGCCCCACGTCCCGGAGGCTCCCGTTGTCCAGGTGCCGCTCCGCGGCGCTCACGGCCGCCGCCGCGCAGTTCGGCAGCGGGTCCCAGAGCTGGCGCTGGTACTCGCGGTAGACGCGCTGCGTGAGGCGCCGCGCCGCGCGGTAGACGTAGCCGCTCCGGAGCTCCTCGGAGCACTGGATGGACCCGACCATCATGCCCCGCTCCAAGCTCGTGATCGGCGACCCCTCGCGCATGAGCAGCGTCCCAAAGTCCTTGTCGCCGCGGAGCATGACGTGCGAGCCCCGCGCGAGCATCTCGCGCGTGCCCGGCAGGTTCCAGTGCGTGCGGTAGCCGTCCCGGAGCCGGTCGAGCGCCGCGTCCTCGAGGCGGCCGGCCTGCACGGGGTCGCCGCGGACGTGGGCCATCTCCGCGCGCGCGAGCACCGCGACGGCGTCGCCCAGCACCATGTCCATGTCGACCTGGCCCCCGAGGTGCACGTGGAGGTCGACGCCGGGCCAGGGCGCGTCGCTCAGCTCCTTGGCGCACTCCATGAGCTGCGCGCCGTAGATCGCGGCCTTCTGGAAGTCGGCCTTGCGCTTCGCCTTCTTCTTCGCCGCGCGCGTGAACACCGCGCCCTCGTCCGGCGGCGGCTCCGGCGGCGCCAGGACGCAGTTCTCGTGGTCCGGGTAGGGCGCGTCGCGGGCCAGGGCCATGACGCGGAACTTGCGCTGCCAGGGCGTGCGCAAAGAACCGCCGCCGTCGCCGACCTGCGCGCCGCCGTACTTCGACCCCTCCTCGCTCGTCGTCTCCTCGGCCTGCGCCGGGTCGTTGATGCGCGCGGGCGTCGTGAAGGAGCCCGTGCGGTACTTGGGGTCCTCGATGCCGTCGAAGTGGACCGCGTAGTAGCGCGCCGCCTCGAGGTCGTCGAAGCGGAACGCGTGGACGCGCTTCCCCGCGAGGTAGACGATCTGCTTGTGGACCCTGCCCGTGAGCGACTCCGTGACGACGCAGGCGATGGGCGCCGGGTACTCGACCTCGCACAAAATGATCGCCGACCGGTCGTTGACGCGGCCGATCACGGGGCCGAGCAGGCACCGCACGCCGCCGTAGAAGAGCGACTGCGACTCGGCCTGGATGCGCACGGGGTCCACGCCCGTGTTCGGCATGACCACGAGGCCCTCGACGTAGGCGCAGTGGTCCGCGGGGACGAGGCGCTCGTGCTCGAAGGCGAGGTGCTCCTTGGCCTCGTCGAGCTTGAGCGCGCCCGCGTCGAGGAGCAGCGGCGCGGCCGACGCGCGCTCCGCGGCGGGCTGGGCGCCCGTGATGGACCCGACGATCATCTGGCGGAACTCGGCCTGCGTGCCCGTCGTCTCCTCGACGTAGGTCTCGACGCCGCCGGGCTGGTCGCCGCCCGCGAGCACGTACATGCACCGCTGCTTCGACACGTGGAGCCACTTGAGCAGCAGGCCCATGAACTTCTTCTGGTCCGCCTCGTTCTTCGACCAGCGCGCGGCGAAGTCCTCGACGTCGTCCTCGAGCTTCTTGCGCTTCGCCGGGTCCTTGGCCACGGGCGTGTACGGGTTCAGCGGCGGCTCCTCGACGGCGACGAGCAGCGCCGTGCAGTCGCGCGACGCCGCGTCGAAGAGGAGCAGGTTCTCGAGCTGGGCCCAGGCGCTCGACGGCACGAGGGGCGCCGTCGGCAGCTGGGCGCCCTCGGGCGTGACCTGGGACCACCGCGTGTCCAGCAGCAGCACCGCGACCTGTGCCGAAACCAACCACTGGTTTGGGGGGTCCCCACCAAACTTGAGAATTCTCTAGCTCGGTCAAATCAAAGTCGATTCGGCTGATTTTTGGACGGATCGATCGCTCTCGTCGAGTTCTCGAAGCACAGTGAATGAGTCTGGTCCAAATCGTTCGAATAAGCTCACATTGAAGTCGGGTTGAATATTTGGTTTCGGCACAGACCGCGACGCCCCCGAGCACGTGGAGGCTCGATTCCTGCTCCGAGCCGCCGGGCGTCTCGTCGTTCTCCGCGTAGAACTTCAGCTCCTCCACGGCCTTGTCCACGTCGGCGTCGGCCCCGCGCACCTCGGCCTCGAGCTCCGTGCAGCGGAAGACGAGCGTCTGCTCCGCCGTCGACGACGCGCCCTCCTCCGACTGGAGCGCGCGCTTCCGGTAGACCTCGAGGTCGACGTTCGCGGCCTTGAGGGTCGCGGCGGCGCGCGCGGCGACGAGCTGGGCCTTGGCGACGGCCGCGCGCCGCTCGCCGAAGCCCTCCTCGCGCGCCACGAGCGCGGGCACGCGCGAGTCCCAGAGCTGGCGCTGGTACTCCCAGAAGACGCGCCGCGCGAGGCGCAGCATGGTAGACGCGACCTCGCCGCCGACGCCCGGGCTCAGCTCCAGCGCGTCCGTGAAGCGCGGGTAGACGTCGCCCTCGCCGCAGAGCATGAGGTGCGGGCAGTGCGAGAGCACGTCGCGCTTCCCGGGCAGGTTCCACGCGAAGCGGTAGCCGTCGCGCAGGCGGTCGCAGGCGCGCTTCTCGAGCTCGTGCCAGGGCTCCGTCGCCCCGCTCAGGGCCGCCGCCAGCGACCGCTGCTCGACGCCGCGCTTGAGCATGACCCACGCCTCCTCGAAGAAGCGGCGCATCTCGACCTGGCCGCCGACGTGGACCATGACGTTCACGGGCGGCAGCTGGCGCATGGACACGCGCTCGACGATGGTCTCCCAGCGGTTGTACTCGCCGGGCCGCACGGCCGTGGGCCGGTCGTGGGCGACGGCGATGAACCGCGCCCGCGCCTCCTCGCGCTTGCCGGCGCGCTCGTACGTGCAGAACTCGCAGAGCCGCTCGACGGCGTCGGACCGGTGGACGTTGCCGAGGACGACGACGAAGCGCGAGTCGGGCGTCAGGCCCGTCAGCTCGCAGACGCCCGGCCGGTTCGCCTTGAGGGTCGCCGCGCCGCGCCGCGTCTCGCGGCCGCCGGGGCAGTTCTTGTCGACGAGGCACGCGGCGAAGGCGACCTCCGCGTCGGCGTCGACCTCGAGGAGGATGCGCGCCGTCGTCGACCCGACGAGGCCCACGACGGGGCCCGTCACGACGCGCACGGCGCCGTCGCACTTGAGCCGCGCGCCGCAGAGGTAGAGGTCGCCCGACGGCTCCTTGCTGCCGTCGAGCAGCTCGCCGGCGACGCGCTCGGCGTAGTCCTCCTCCAGGGACGTCAGGTTCTGCTCCAGCCGGTCCAGCTGCTGCTGCAGCGCCTCCATGGCGCCCATCGGGCCGCCATCCGTGCTGCCCGCCTGGCCCATCGTTCGAAAGGTCGCTGTGCCGCAGCCCGGGGGGAGGATGTTGATGCGGAAGCGGCAAACAAATCGCCAATCCCAGCGGCTGGCAGTGGCATCCCACATCGAGCGGAGAAAAAGCCGCCGGCCGCGTCGCGCCGCCGTCGCGCCGGAGCCCGCCGCGCCGCGCCATGGGCGTCGGGCTCAAGGAGCTGCGCGACGCGGTGTTCGCAAAACCGGCCGAGGCGACGCCGCGCGTCCTCGAGCTGACGCGGAAGCAGCACTGGTGCGTGCCCGACGCGCGGCGCCTCGCCGGGCGCGCGCTGTCCGCCGGCGGCATGGTGCTCGAGCTCGAGAAGCAGCTCGAGGAGTTCGAGGAGATCAAGGGCACCTACCCCTACATCTGCATCGTCGAGCGCCGCGCGTCGATGCGGCGCGTCTTCGACGAGGCCGTCGCCGAGGCCGTGACGCTCGAGCACGAGGTGCGGCGCCCGAGCGTGTCCGAGTGGCACTCGCGGCGGCGCGCGGCGATCCTGAAGGCGCACCCGGAGGTCGCGAAGCTCCACGGCGAGACGGCCTGGTCGCCCGTCGCGTGCGTCGGCGTCTGCCTCGTCCACGCGGCCGTCGCGATCCACCTCCTCGCGCCCGGCGCGGGCGGCGTCGACGCGCGGTACGCGCTCCGCGTCTTCCTCCTCGCGGGCACGGTCGGCGCCCAGTGCGCCTTCGGCGCCCAGGCCCTGAACCACGAGCTGAGCCACGCGAAGACGTGGGCCGTCGCCGGGCCGTGCGCGCTGCTGGCGTCGTCGCTCACGACGTTCCCCTGGTTCTCCTACTACTTCGCCGGCGGCCACGAGCGCCACCACGCCCACGTCGGCACGCCCCGCGACGCCGACGCCGACGCCCTCTTCTGGCTCTGGGAGCGGTCCCCGGCGCACGCGAACGACGTCTACGGCGACGACGGCGACGACGAGCTCGAGGAGGCCGCGGTCGTCACGGACGAGTCGTCCGACGACGACACCCGGCGGCCCGCGGCGCGGGCCGTGCGCGTCGAGGACGCGGCGGCGGCGCGGCGCCGGCGCCTCGTCGCGGTCGCGGACAGCGTCGCCGGGGGCGTCGCGTGGGCGTCCGCCGTCGCCGCCGCGCTGCCCCTGGCCTACGCCTGGAGCCTCCTCGCCTGCCTGCGGGACGATTTCAAGGCGAACCGCAAGGAGACCTGCTTCTGGCTCTTCGACGCGCTGTGCAGCGCCGCGGCGATGGCCGCCGTCGGCCGGCGCTGCGCGTCGCCCGCGCACGGGTGGGGCGCGTTCGCCTACTTCGCCCTGTCCGCGGCCAACTCCGTCGGCTTCCTGGCGCACCCCTGCATCGGCTTCTGGCTCTTCCAGCACGCTTGCGCGACGGACCTCGACGAGCGGAGCTCCATGGCGGCGGCCTACAGGGCAGCAAAAGGGTGCGAAATTCCCAACTTCAAAGGCTCATATCTCGGTCGTTTTCCACTCGTTTCGGCTGATTTTCGGACGAGCGATCATCTCTCGGAACGGTCTCGAAGCGTGGATGCTTTTCCGGAACGCGCGTGCGCGGAACACTCACGTTGAAGCGACGTTGAATCACCCTTTTGCTGCCCAGGCGGCGTACGCGGCGCCGACGCTCGCGCCGCGCGCGAAGAAGGACGACGACGCCTACGGCGCCCTCGACGACATGCAGCCCACGCTCTCCTACGCGGGCTCCGACCTCTGGCACTGGCTCACGTTCCAGGAGCTCCGCCACCTCGAGCACCACGACTTCCCGGGCATCCCCTGGACGCGGCTCGCCGCGCTCGCCAAGGCCGCGCCCGAGTTCTACGCGCCGACCCACGTCTACCACGTCCCCTCCATCGCGACGCTCCTCGCCACCTGGCTCAAGGGCAAGCGCGAGAAGTTCGACTTCGCCTGCCGCAAGCGCCTCGTCGCGCGCGCGCGCGACCGCGCCGTCGAGCTCTCCGTCGCCCACGTCGCGCCCGCCAAGCACTAGGGGGGGGACCGGGCTTAGTCTTTTTTTCACCACCACACTAGGGGGAGGACCCGGCTTAGTCTTGTTTACCGCCACCGCCTCGTCCGACGACGCCCTCGCCGCCCCGCCGCGGCGCCAGGACTCGCCGCGTAGGCCGCGCCCGGCTTGGACGATCTGCCCGGGCAGCCCGCCGGGAGTCGCTCCGGCACGTGCTTGTGGGGGAAGTAGCCCGGGCAGCTGCCGTCGACTTTGCGGAGGACGAGGATGTTCTCGTTGGCGACCTGCTGGACGAGGGTGAGGACGAGGCCGCGGAGCTCGCCTTGCTGGTGGGCGAGCACGAGCACGCTCACGAGGCTGTCCGTGGTGAAGGTGTGGAGGTGCATGCCGGAGCTGGCGCCGGCGGCGATCTCGGCCCGCGCTCGGGCGAGGGCCGCGGGCTCTTCGTCCGTCGTCACGGGCCGCCCCAACTTGCCCTCGGCGACCTCGAACGGGTGGTCCGCGTCGATCTTGGCCTCGTTGTGGAAGGATTCGAGGTGATGCGTCGGCTGGGTCGTGTGTCTGTTCCGGTCCTCCGGGTTGAATCTTCGGTCGGGGAGCGCGACGAAGGCGACCCCGCCCCTGCGCAGCACGCGGTGGAAGGTCGCCAAGGTGCCGAGGAAGTCGACGACGTGCTCGAGGACGTGGTTGGCGACGACGAAATCCAACGACTCGTCTCGGAATCTTTTCAAGTAGTTGGCGTCGTCGACGACGTCGACGGGGTGGGCCCGGATCCCTCGAAGCCAGCCCTGATGCGTCGCGTCCGTCCCGCCGTACTTGACCAAGAGGTCCGCGGTCGACAACTCGTCGACCAGCCTCACGGTCGTCGGCGGCGCTTTCCTCGCGGCGCGTTCCGCGTTTATCTTGCCGAGCGTGTGGTTGCTCAGCAGCGGCGTCGACTTCGCGCCGATCTCGATCCCGTCGCCGCGAATATACTCGCGCGCAATCAGTAGGCGCGTCGCATACCTACGTGGGCGCATAGGTCATAGGTCCATAGGTTCCAGACGAGGCTACGTAGGCGCGTAGGCGCCTACGTAGCCCGTGAAAGGTCTCGTAGGCGCCTACGTAGGCATGTATGCGACGACACTGTCGCGTACTTATTTTTCCACAGCTCGGACGGCTCCGGCAGCACCGTGTCCACCTCCTTCCACGGCGGCTGCGCCGAGGCGAGCAACAAACCGAGGCTCGACCAGAGCATGGTAAAGCACGAAACGCGCGTCATCGCGCGTCCAGCGGTGTCGGGTTGCGTCTAGCGGTGTTGGCAAGTTGACCAAGTTATTGAAGGGGATGCGCGCCCGACTGCGTCCGACCGGGGAGGGGAGGCAGGTCCGCGGAGGGACCCCCGCGGAGGGAACCAGACCGAGCAGGCGCGGGGCGGCAGCTCCTGAGTCGCCTCATCAGACGACACAAGTTGAAAAATGCTAGAAAATTTACCTTAGGTGCCAAAGCACGAGCCACCCACGGACAAAAGATTCGAACCTCATGGCGAGGTGGGTGGGTGGGTCCGGAGGCCTGGTTTGGAAAATCTACAGTGTACTGATGGGTACTTGTAACGCGCGCGCGCGCGCGCGGTCATGACCCGCGGTGCCGCGGCTGACGGTCGCGCGGCGCCTCGGCGACGTGTCTTCACGCCGCTATCGTCGTCTCTGGGCAAGCGCCGCTTCTCGCCGCGGCGAGTCGAGCGGCGCGGGTGCCCGTTCTCATCGCAAAGCGGAGATTGGACCGCGCAGCTCCGCGACACGAGAGAGCGCGCGCGCGGAATCGCGCGCGCGTTGTGGCGATTTTGCGAGCGGCAACTTGAAGGCAACTAACGAAACGGAGGTCCCTGATTGGCCAGGAGGTGGGTGGGTGGGTGCCGGGCCCGCGATACGCCTCGCGATCGAAGAATCCGGCATGAGGTACCGCGGGATTTATCCCGGGCGGCTCTTGGCCAAAGCGATGGGGGCCCGTGACGATGGTAAGAGCGGTCGAGGTCCGCGACATTCAAGCTTTGAGAGACGCAGAAAACCTTCTGAGAGTGTGCCTTCCGATCGTCGCTGCGATCATCGCTCTGACCATTTATAACTTCGCCCTCTATTTCAGCTACCTCGATGCCTAAAATGCGACGCGTCTGGATAGCCCTGGTCGTAATCGCAGGGCTCGTGTGCGCTCTTCTCTATATCACGCATCAAGACAACCCGCTCGTGGTCGACGACGGCGGGTCGGAGTTTAACGTGACCGAGACGCTCGAGGACTTTCGGTGCTACCTCACCGCCTGCGACGCCGCCGCGACGGCGGCGTGCTGCGGCGGCGCCGCGTGCGCGACCGTCGAGGACGCCGCGTGCTGCCGGCGGTCGGTCTGGGCGCGGGGCGGGGGCGACTACGCGTGGGTTCCGCACGAGGCGCTCCGATGCGTCGACCGCGCGTGCCGCGCGGAGGGCTTCGGCCCGCACTGCGACGAGGCCTGTGCGCCCTACGGTACGGGGAGGTGGTGCGCCCGCCGCGTCGCCGCGGACGCCGTCCTGGCCCCGCGCGCGCGCCTGTCGGACGCCGACTACGACGCGCGTCTCTCGCGGGCGTGCCGCGACCCCGAGGGCGTCGTCGTCGACCGCCGCGGCCGCGTCGTCCCCCGCCTCCACGCCGAGGCGCACGACAATGCGCTGGGCTCGTGCGTCGCCTCCCTCGCCGACGACGTCGTCTTCGTCGGCGACAGCCAGACGAAAATGATGCGATTCGAATACGCGCGGTGGCTCGACGGCGGGCGCCGGGAGCCCTACGGCATCAGCGCCGAAGATTTCGGGCCGGCGCCGGGCGCGGTCCCGGACGAGGCGGCGGCGCCGCCGCCGACGAGCATGGCCGCGCTCGTCGCGGCGCGCGGCTACGACGGCGCGCTCGCGGGAGCCTTCGAGGAGGTCACGGGCGTCTACGCCAAACCGAAGCGCGGCTTCGAGGACAAGAAGCGGACGAACCTCAACGCGACGCTCGAACGCCTCGCCGAGCGGACGCGGCGAAACCGCGCGCGGCGGGGCCTCTACGTCGTCGGCTTCGGCGTCTGGGACCTGACCTTCAGCGGCGAGGACGACGTCGTCGGGCGGTTCGAGGCCGAATTCGCCGCGTTCTTCCCGCGCCTCCTGGACCTCGTCGCCGGTGCCTACGACGAGGCCGACGTCGTCCTCCGCAATCTCTGGACGTCGTTCGAGCGCGACAAGGGCGCCAGCTGCGGCGCGCTCCCCGAGGTCGCGCGATCCGAGGCTTTGAACGAGGCGATCCGCCGCGTCTTCGACGCGGCCGCGCCCCCGGCGAACGTGCACCTCCACCTCCTCGACGTCGAACAGCTCTCGCGGCCGCGGCGCTTCGAGATGCCGCAGACGTCCGACGGGCTGCACTGGGCCTGCAACTCCAAGGCGAGCTTCCCCGGCGGCGCGTCGCGGTGCCGCTACACGCTCAACGCCGTCGACCGGCCGGACGAGGTCGCCTGGGCCGGCCTCCAGATCGCCCTCCACGAGGTCTGCGCGCGACGCGGCCTCTACGCCCGGTAAGGGGCCTGTTTGTCCGCGCGCGCCCCCGAGGGCTCATTAACTTGAAGGGAAACTCGCCCTTCGCTTGAAGGATTCCAACCGGCGGGCAGCATGGCGGGCAGCACACGAACCTGAGCCCAGACATGCAGGAGGCTGCCGTGGCGAAGAAGTATGCGTCGAAGCTCAAGGCCAAGGCGGACTCCGAGCGCAAGGGCTCGGGCTGGTGGCGCATGGAGGACCTGAAGGCGGCCTTCAAGCGCTTCGCCGACAACCCCGACGACCCCGAGGCGTCCTACTTCTTGGCCAAGGCGCTCCAGATGGCCGGCCAGGCGGACAAGGCCGAGGAGCGCTACGACCTCTTCGCCGACCGCTGCCGCCAGCGCTTCGGGAGCGCCGCCGCGGCCATCGAGCACTACGAGGACGTCGTCGCCAAGCTCGAGAAGCGCGCGACCGCGGACGGCGACACGGGCCGCGCGGACCCCAAGGCCGTCACCGTCGAGGACTACAAGGGCATGCGGCGGAACCTCGGGCTCGCCGAGGAGCGCAAGCGCAAGCGACGGAAGGGCTGCGTCCTGTCGTGACGCGCGCGCGCGCGTAAGCGCGAGACGCGTCGGAGACCTTAGCACTCGCCGCACGTCGCGGGACAGGCCTCGAACGCGAACACGTCGGCGTCGTCGCGCTTGTCGCAGTTCTCGCTCTTCTTGGAGACGTAGTCCTCGCACGTGTTTTTGGATTTCTTGTAGAACCAGCTCGTCGAGTCCGCGCACGTCGCTTCGCACTCGCCGCACGTCGCGGGACAGGCCTCGAACGCGAACACGTCCGCGTCGTCGCGCTTGTCGCAGTTCTTGCTCTTCTTGGCTACGTAGTCCTCGCACGTATTCTTGCTCTTCTTCCAGTACCAGCTCACCGAATCCGCGCACCCGTCCGCGGGGAACGGCGTCGGCGCGGGCGCCGGGACCTCGCATGCGTCGCACGCGACGGGACACGCTTCAGGACTTGAAACCCCTGATTCTTCGTGGACGTACTTGCTCTTACATCGCTTCGACTTCTTCGCGACGTAGTCGCAGTCGTACTTCGACTTCTTCCAGTACCAGGACGTCGAGTCCGCGCAGTCCCCATCATCCGTGGGAAAGGGCGTGGGCGCGGGCGCCGGCGCCTCGCACTCGCCGCACGTCAGCGGACAGGCGTCCTCGGCCTACGATGCGAGAGTCGCGCGAACCGCGGAAGCGGGGACGCCGCGCGCGCGCCTTGACTTTGTTGTCGTCCTTCTTGAGACAGTTTTTCGACTTCTTCGTGACCTGCGGGGGCGACGCGATCACGGTCTCCTAAAAAGACCGGGACGCGCGCGCGCGCGTAGTCCTCGCACGTGTTCTTGCTCTTCTTCCAGTACCAGCTCGTCGAGTCCGCGCACCGCTCGCCGTCGTCGTTGTCCGCGGGGACCGTGGGCTCCGGCGCGGGCGGGGCGCGCGTCGGACGGGACGTGGGCTCGCCGGGCGCGTCGCAGCAGCAGCCCTCGTCGGCCGCGCAGACCGGGTCCTCGTAGTCCTCGCAGCGGTCGCAGCTCCGGGGGCACAACTGCCACGTGTAGAGCTCGTAGCCGTTGTAGTCCGCCTGGAAGTCGTCGCAGCCGTCGTCCGCGATGCCCGCGCAGGCTTCGCCGACCGCCGGGCCCAGGTCCGCGATGATGCCCAGCGGATCGTCGAAGCAGCCCCGCGGCTCGCGGCAGCAGCCCGAGTCCGAGACGCAGACGGGGTCCTCGTAGTCGCCGCAGCGGCCGCAGCTCAGCGGACAGAGCTGCCACGTGTAGAGCTCGTAGCCGTTGTAGTCCGCCTGGAAGTCGTCGCAGCCGTCGTCCGCGATGCCCGCGCAGGCTTCGCCGACCGCCGGGCCCAGGTCCGCGATGATGCCCAGCGGATCGTCGAAGCAGCCCCGCGGCTCGCAGCAGCAGCCCGAGTCCGAGACGCAGACCGGGTCCTCGTAGTCGCCGCAGCGGTCGCAGCTCCGGGGGCACAACTGCCACGTGTAGAGTTCGTAGCCGTTGTAGTCCGCCTGGAAGTCGTCGCAGCCGTCCTCGACGATGCCCGCGCAGGCCGCGGCGACGCTCGCCCCGGAGGTCCGCGACGATGCCCATGGGATCGTCGACGCAGACGTCGCCCGCGTCCTTCGTCGGCTCGCGCGTCGGGTCGGACGTCGGCGCGGGCACCGGTTCGCCGGGCGCGTGCGTCGGGCGCGACGTGGGCTCGCGCGTCGGGCGGCGCGTCGTCGGGTCGGGCGTCGGCCCGAGCGTCGTCGGGCCGCGCGTCGGGTCGGACGTCGGCGCGGGCACCGGTTCGCCGGGCGCGTGCGTCGGGCGCGACGTGGGCTCGCGCGTCGGGCGCGGCGTGGGCTCGCGCGTCGGGTCGCGCGTCGGCCGCGCCGTCGGCGCCGCGACCGGCTCCCCGGGCGCGTGCGTCGGCCGCGCCGTCGGCGCCGCGACGGGCTCGCTCCCCTCCGTCGGCTCCTGCGTCGGCGTCGGCGGGTGATCGGCGGCCGCGAACTGCGGCGCCCAGCAGTCGGAGAGGTCGTCGGCGAGCGTCGTGCACGTGCACCGCGTCTCGAACCAGTCGCCCGCGTCCGCGTAGGCCAGGACGCCGTAGGCCATGTCCGCGCTCGCCGTCTCCGACCCCGAGTCGGCGACGGCGACCTCGTAGGCGTAGCCGTAGCAGGGCACGGGCTCGAACGTGTCGTAGACGCGCTCCTCGTCGTCGACGTAGTCCGCCGGCGGCGTCGGGACCAGGAGCACGTGGACGACGTCGGCCGCGTCGCCGATCTCGACGGTCACGGACTCGGGGTCCTTGCCGTCGAGCTTCCAGTAGGTGCGGCCGCCGTCGGCGTCGAGGCGGACGACGCGCGCGGAGAAGAAGCGGTCGTCGTCGACGCACGACGCGTGGACCGCGTTGAGGTCCGCCGGGTTCGCGTCGGCGTCGTCCGTGTCGAGGTCGTCCCAGGCGACGGTGATCGTGACGAAGTCGCCTGCGTCGAAGCCGTCGAGCTTGAGCGCGTTCCAGCCGAAGGGCCCCGGCCTCGAATCCGCGGGGCCCGCGACGGAGCCGCCCGTCGCGCCGCTCACGGCCACCGTCGTCTGGAGGTCCTCCAGGGTCGACGACCCGAAGATGCCGTCGCCCTCCAGGGAGCAGCGCGCGTCCGCGTCCTCGGCGACCCAGGCGCAGTCCTGGTCGTCGTCGCCGCCGTAGGTCCACGAATCGCTGTCCGCGCAGTCGTCGACCTCGCACGTGTCGCAGGCCACGGGGCAGCCGCCGTCCTCGTTGTCGGCCCATATTCCGGCATTGTAGGCGTCGAAGCTCGTCTCGATCATGAGGCTGATCTCGTCCGCGAAGAGCGGGTCGTCGACGGTGCGCAGGTGCGCGACAAAGTTCGCGAAGACGTCGCCGAGGTCGAGGCCCTCCGCGAAGAGGAGGGCCCGGAGCTTGAGGAGCTCCCCGGCGTTGCCGAGGTCCACGGAGTACATCTTTCCGACGGCGCCGGGCTGGCCCGCGTGGTTCGCGAGGAACGACCAGAAGAGGAACGCGGCGTAGATGTGGCCGCCGCGGACGCTGTCCGAGATGCCCAGGTCGATGAAGTGCGTCGACGGCTCGACGTCGAAGAACATGTTGAGCGGGATCGGAGGCGTCGCCACGTAGGGGATCGTGTAGGTGTCCGTGCCCGGAAAGTTGTAGTCGCAGCCGAACGACGCGGTGCTCTCCGCGAGCCATCGCCCCCCGCAGGTCCCGTAGGTCCCGCAGAGCTCGCCCTGGAACCCGTGGAACGTCTCGTGGACGACGAAGCCGTAGCCGCTGTGGCCGCGGTCGTAGTAGAAGGTCTTCAAGTCGAAGAGTTCGCCGTCGTCCGTCGGCTCCCACTTCTCGATCGCGCTGCCGTAGAACGGGAACAGCCAGCCGTTGTTGTGCTGGTGGAGGAAGCGGCAGGGGTTGTTCCAGTCGCGCGCGCTGTAGCCGGGCACCTCGGAGCCGCTCGCGTACCAGCTCCAGGGCGCGAGATTGACGGCCATCATGTCCGTCTCGAAGTAGTACCTTTCCCAGACGTGCGAGAGCATCTTCTGCTCCTGGAAGTAGTGGTCCAAATCCAACATCTCCTCCGTGAGGTCGTACATGTCGCCGACGACCAGCTCGTCGAACATGTCCGCGGCGAAGTCGCCGTTCGTGCCCGGCGGCACCTCGTCGAAGTCCTCGGTCCACCAGTCCGTGCCGTACTCGGCCGCCGCGACCCACAAGGTGCCGAAGGCGCCGGAGCCGTAGGTCTGGATGCCGTCGTCGGACGGCACGGCGTCGACGTCCGGGTCGCAGCCGCCCCGCAAGAATTCCGTCTCGAGGTCTAGAAGCATCTTCAGGTCGCCCGGGTCGCCGCAGCGCGCGCCGACCGTCGCGACCTCGTCGGCCGACAGCGCGCCGGCGTAGACGCGGACGTCGAAGAGCTCGCCGGAGAAGGGCCCGAGCGATCGTCGGCCTCGTCCGGCGCGATCTCGGCGTCGAGGTCGCGATCGACGGCCTCGCCGCGCACGAAGATGTGCGTCGGCGTGATGGCGACCTGGGTGCAGTGCCAGGTCTTGAGCGGCGAGAAGGCGTAGGCCTCGCCGTTGACCGTGAGCACGGTCTCGTCGTCCGCCGACGAATCGACGTGGACCGCGAGCGACGGGCCCTCGTAGACGTCGCCCTCGAGCCACTGGTCGCGGTAGAGGTGGTGGAGCTTGAAGAGCACCGTGCTCTCGGCGGGGAACGACGCCGAGAGCTCGTAGGTCAGCGTCTTGGCCGTGAAGTCGACGCGGCTCACGAAGAAGGCCTCGTCGCGCGGGTGGAGCTCGTCCGTGCCGTCGACGGGCGTCGCCGCGGCCTCGTAGTAGGCCGTCACGAGCGAGTCGGGCGCGACGTCGCGCGGCGTCACGGAGATCGGCGCGAGGAAGACGATGCCGTCGCCGAGCCCCGCGCCGCCGCCCTGGAAGTCCTCCGTGTTGCAGACGCAGTTCCCGACCTCGAGGCACTTGGAGATGGGGTCGACGCGGCAGAAGCCGCCCTTGGGCGACGAGAGGAAGATCCACTGACAGCGCTCGGCCGTCTCGCCGACGCAGTCGGCGTACGCGTCGTGCGCCGCGCAGTCGTCGTGCGTGGCGAACTGGAGCGCCTCCGAGGAGATCACGGGCTCCGTGACCTCGTCTCGGTCGTAGGTCGAGTCCGTGGGGTAGACGCACTCCATGTGCGGCGACATCACCTCGGAGCAGCAGTCGTCGGGCGCCTCGTCCTCGTCCTCTTCCTCGTCCTCCTCGTCCTCCTCGTCTTCGTCGTCCGCCTCGTCTTCGTCGCCGGAGCCGTCGCAGGTGGCGTCGCAGGCATCCTCGTAGCGCGCGCAGGCGTCGACGGAGGTGTCGAGGTCCCCAGGGTAATAGCAGGCCTCGCACTCGGCCGAGGGCTCGTCGGCGTTGCAGAATTCCCCGCTCGAGCAGTCGTTGTTGCTCGTGCAGTCCGCGGCGGCCAGCGCGAGCCAGCCTATCACGATCAATGAGCGCATCATTGTCAACAGAACCCGATAATTTTGCGGGGGAAGCGAGTTCAACATGCATGTGTCGAAGTATTCGTTGAAGCACTGAGCCTCGACACAACCAACACTCGCCGCCGCAGCAAGCGTCGCAGCCAGCAGCCAGCCCGCCAGCAGCCAACAGCACCAACAGCACCACCAGCGCCAAGAGCACCACCACCAGCGCCGCCATGTCGCGCGCGGCGCACGACGCCGTGCGGAGCCACCTGGACCTCGGCGGCGAGGAGGTGTCCGCCGGCGCCGCGGCCCAGCTCGTGCGCGAGTGCAAGACGGACCGCCAGGCCGCGGCGGCGCTCGCCGCGGCGCACGACGGCGTCGTGCGGGCGGGCTTCAGCGCGGCCGACGCGTCGCGGGCCCTCGCCTGCGTCGCCGCGCGGCGCGGCGCGCGCGCGTCGCTCGCGCGGCACGCGCTCGACTGGCTCTGCCTCCGCCTCGACCACGGGTCGCTGCCGCGGGCGTTCCGCGAGGACGACGAGGACGAGCGCAAGGGCCCGGACACGAGCCACGTCACCCTCGACATCGTCGCGGCGACCGCGCCCCGGCCGCCGCCGGCGCCGGAGGCGCTCGCGCGGGACGCGAACGCGGACGTCGACGACTGGGAGGCCGCCGAGGACGAGGCCGCAGACGCGGCCGACGACGACGGCGGCGCCGCGGACCGCAAGGCCTTCGCGCTGCGCTACGCGGCGCAGCTCGCCGAGGCCGAGGTCGCCGAGGCGCGCGCCGAGGAGGCCAAGGCCGAGGAGCGCGCCGCGTGGGACGCGCTCCCCGCGGACGAGAAGCGGCGGCGCCTCGAGCGCGAGCTCGAGGCGCTGCGCGCGCGGCACCGCAAGCTCAAGCGCACGAAGCTCAAGCACGCGACCTGCGACAAGAAGACGGCCGTGCGCGACGAGGCCGCGGACATCGGGGACACCATCGCGGGGATCGTGGGCGAGCTCGCGAAGCTGCCGCCGCCGCCGCCGAAGCACAAGAAGCAGCTCGCGCCGCGCGCGCCCGTCGACGACAGCGCGCCGGACCCGGAGGAGGCCCCGGCGCCCGTCGACGACGCGGGCTTCCTCGAGGGCGACCCCGGCGACGACGCCGCCGACGCGCGCGACCCGGCGCCGGCGCCGGCGCCGCCGGACGACGACGACGACGCCGTCGGCGACCTCTTCGCCGCGGCCGAGGCCGCGGCGGCGGTCGCGCCGCCCGTCGAGCACGCGCCCGCGGCGCCCGCGCGCGCCGTCGAGCCCGCCGTCGTCTGGAGCGGCGCGACGCCCCGGGAGAAGCTCGACCAGTGGTGCCGCGAGCGCGGCAACCCGAAGCCCCAGTACGAGGTCGCGTCGAAGGCGACGCTGCGCTGCCGCGTCTGGGCGCCCCAGCGCGAGCGCATCCAGAAGAAGAACGCGCGCAAGGCCAAGGGCTGCGCGGCCGTCGGCCCGCCGACGCTCGTCGCAGGGCAGGACAAGAGAGCGAAATTCCCAACTTCAAAGCCTCATATCTCGGCCGTTTTCCACTCGTTTCGGCTGAATTTTGGACGAGCGATCATCTCTCGGAACGGTCTCGAAGCGTGAATGCTTTTCCCGGAACGCGCGCGCGCGAAACACTCACGTTGAAGCGACATTGAATCACCTTGTGCTGCCCAGGCTCGTCGCGACGGCGGACGTCGGCGACGCGATGCTCGACCCCTGGGCGCGGAGCCGCGCGTGCCCCGGGGGCGCGTCGGGCGCGGGCCGCGACTTCGCCGCGACGAAGGCGCTCTACGCGCTGTCGCCGGAGCTGCCCCTCTACCGCGTGCTGCCCCCGCCGTTCCGGGGCTGGTGGCTCGACCGGCTCGAGGACGCGCGCGCGGCGCGCGACGCGGAGAACGCCATCAGCGCCGAGGCGCGCCAGCAGCTCACGGACAAGAAATTAGACGACGTGCTCCAGCAGGTGCTCGCGGCCATGGAGGCGCGCGCCGTCGCGGGCGACGACGGCGGCGCGCCGCCGCCGCCGCCGGCCGCGGCGGCCGCGCCGCCGCCGCCCACGGACGCCTGGGAGGACCCGGCGCCGGCGACGGACTCCTGGGAGGACCTGCTCTCGAGCGACGACGAGGCCGCGGCGCCCGCGCCGTCGGAGGCGACGGCGAGCGTCGCCGCGCCCGAGGCCGCCGCCGCGCCCGAGGCGGCCGCCGCGGCGGACGCGCGGCGGCTCAAGCAGACCAAGGCCGGCGACGAGTGGAAGGCGTGGTGGCTCGCGCGGAAGCGGTCCAAGGGCTACAGCGCCATGCGCGAGACGCGGAGCGCGCTGCCCGCGGCGAAGTCGCGCGACGCGTTCGTCGACGCCGCGGCGTACGCGGCGTCGCCGCGCCACGCGGACGGTATTGTTGTTTGCGGCGAGACGGGCAGCGGCAAGACGACGCAGCTGCCCCACTTCATCCTCGACTCGGAGCTCTGCGCCGGCGGCCTGCGGGCGTCCGACGTGCGCATCATCGTCACGCAGCCGCGGCGCGTCGCGGCGACGTCCGTCGCGCGCCGCGTCGCGGAGGAGTGCGGCGAGGACGACGTCGGCGGGCTCGTGGGCTACCACATCCGCCACGAGCGGCGCGTGTCGTCGCGGACGAAGCTGCTCTTCTGCACCGCGGGCGTGCTCCTGCGCATGCTCCGGGGCTTCTCGGACGACGGCGACGGCGGCGACGGCGACGACGGCGACGCGTTCGTCCGCGGGGCGACGCACATCATCCTGGACGAGGTCCACGAGCGCGCCGCGGACAGCGACCTGCTGCTGGCGGCGCTGCGGCGCGCCGTCGCGGCGCAGCGCCGCGAGGCCGCGGCGCGGCGGCGGAAGCTGACGTTGGTGCTCATGTCCGCGACGCTCGACGCGAAGCTCTTCCAGAAGTACCTGGACACGGGCACGGGCAAGGCGGCGACGCCGACGCCCGTGCTGTCCATCTCGGGCCGCGCGCACCCCGTCGCGGAGTACTTCCTCGAGGACGTCGTCGCCGCCGCGGGGCACCGCCACGACTTCGGCGGCGCGGCGGGCTTCGCCGAGTCGGGGCCGGGCCCGTCCGTGCGCGTCGCGCGGCGCGACGGCGGCGACGACGGCCGCCTCGAGCGGGCCATGGCGCGCTACCGCGACGAGGAGGCCGAGCCCCACTCGGGGAACGCGCGGCTCGACTACGAGCTCGTCGTCGCGGCCATCGAGTCCGTCGTCGACGGCGACTTCGCCGACGGCGCCGGGGACAGCGACGACGCGGCGGGCGGCGACGCGCGGCGGGCCGCGGGCGCGGGCACGTCGACGCTCGTCTTCCTCCCCGGCGTCGCGGAGATCCGCCGCGTCGCGGACCTGCTCCGGGGCGGCCGGCGGTTCGCCGACGGCTTCGTCGTGGCGGAGCTCCACGCGAACGCGGCGCGCGACGAGCAGCGCAAGGCCTTCGACCCGGCGCCGCCCGGGTGCCGCAAGGTCGTCCTGGCGACGAACGTCGCCGAGAGCTCCGTGACGCTACCCGACGTCACGGCCGTCGTCGACTGCGGCCGCGTCAAGGAGGTGCGCCACCACACGGGCGGCTCGGAGAAGCTCTTCGCCGCGTGCCCCACGCTCCTCACGTCCTGGTGCTCGCGCGCGTCCGCGCGGCAGCGCTGCGGCCGCGCGGGCCGCGTCCGGCCCGGCGTCTGCGTGCGCCTCTACAGCCGCGAGCACTACGACTGCCGCCTCGCGGACCACCAGGAGCCCGAGCTCATGCGCGTGCCCCTCGAGGAGCTGCTCCTCTCCGTGAAGCTCGCCTGCGACGACGCGCGCGCGACGTCGTCGACGTTCTTCGGCTCCGCGGCGGAGTGGCTCGGCGAGTGCCCGCAGCCGCCGCCGACGCACGCGCTGAGCGCCGCGCTGTCCGAGCTCGTGAGCGTCGGCGCCCTGGCCCACGCCGTCGAGGGCGAGGACGACTCCTGGGCGGCCATGGAGGCGTCGCTGGGCGCGGGCTCGGACGCGTCGCTCGCGCTGACGCCGCTGGGAAGGCACCTCGCGCGGCTGCCCGTGCACCCGCGCCTCGGCAAGATGCTCGTCTACGGCACGCTCTTCGGCTGCGTCGGCCCCGCGGCGTCCGTGGCCGCGGCCGTCGGCGCCGCGGGGCGCGCGGACGCGCTCTTCGCGCCGGACGCGACGCGGTCGCAAAAGGCCGCGCGCGCGCGCCTCGCGCCGCCGCGCGCGGACCTCGTCGCCGCGGGCCGCGCCCTCGACGCCTACCGCGGCGAGCCGGGCCAGCGGGGCCGCGCGGCCCTCGCGCGGGAGCTCGGGTTACACGAGCCCGCGGTCCGCGAGGCGCTCGACGCGCGCGACAACTTCGTGGCGCTCCTCGAGCGCGCGGGGCTCCTCGACCGCGGCGCGTCGGGCCGGCGCGACGCGCCGGCGAACCGCCACGCGGCCAACGCGAACGTCGTCGCGGCCGTGCTGCTCGGGGCCCTCGCGCCGCACGTCGGCCGCGTCGACGCCGCGGCGAGGGCCGACGACGGCGCGGCGATCCGCGGCGCCGCCGTGGAGCTCAGCGTGCCCCGGGTGGCGTCGGCCCGCGCCGCGGGCGACGCCGACGCGCCCGCCGCGGGCGCCGCGCCGAGGCGCAAAGCCGTCAAGTTCGACAGGGCGAAGCTGAGCCCGTCGTCGTTCCTGGCGCTCGCCGACCTCGACGCGGCCGCGTGCCACGTCGCCTTCTTCAGCCGCCGCTGGGACACGAACCGGAGCAAGCTGCTTTTAGGCGGCTGCGCCGTCGCGACGCCCTTCGCGCTCCTGCTCATGTACCCGGGCGACCTCGAGGTGCGGCACGCGGCGCGCGAGGCGACGCTCGCCAACTGGATGACGCTGACCAAGGTGCCCGCGCGCACGGCCGTGCTCCTGCGCGAGCTGCGCAAGCAGCTCGGCTCGACGATCCAGGCCCTCTTCGAGGCGCCCGCGGCCAACTCCGACGAGGCCGCGGCCGCGACGATCGACGTCGTCGCGCGGCTCCTCGCGGAGGAGCCCACGCGCGCGATCCTCGGCGAGTAATTCGAGGGAGAGATCCGCGTTACTGCGAGATCTAGGGAGAGATCCGCGTTACTGCTTTGGGCGCGCCGGTCGTGCGGGGCGGCCTCCCGAGGGCCGCCCCGTGTGGCGCGCGCGCGGCCGTTCTCCCGGCGGGGTGGCGAGCGAGCTTGGCGACGATGCGAGCGTGGCGGTTTGACCTATCGGAGGATCTCGAAGGTCATGACGCGCTGGTTCTCGCCGGAGCCCGAGAGGTTCGCGCAGTCGTCGCCGACGAGCTCGACCTTGGCGCCGCGCGCCTTGACGAAGTCGAGGACGGCCTCGGGCTTGCCGTAGTCGCGCTTCGCCGGGCCGATGAGGGAGAAGCGCGTGACGCGCGTCGACGCCGCGACGGCGGCGAGGAGCGTCTCCTTGGCCGGCGGGTCGAAGCCGTGCCACACGGCGGAGACGGTGATTTTGGAGCCGTCGTCGGCCGCGCCGAAGACCTCGGCGAGCCAGGCCTCGACGGAGGGGCCGCGGAGGTCGCAGATTCC